TTTTGTTTCTCTTTATCGTGTTAAATTGCTAAATTAAATTGATTCTTATTCACTGTCAATCAAATAACTCAAAATCTAAAATAATATTGATGAAGTTAGAAAATAATGAATATTATAATATTCACACTTAAATCATTTCATAATATAGTTCACTAAAATGAATTAAATATTTCAAAAGAAAACAAAAAAGAAATGAAAAATCATTATGAAAAGCAATATGATTTACTTTACAATGTTCATTACCTAATATCATTAAGATCTTGATGCTTTATTTAATTTAATCATATTCTAATTATTTAAATAGTATAATAAATTAATAAAATAGTATTTTAAAATTAGAACTAATTAATATAATATATTAACTATAAATTATTATTTTGAAAAGAACTAATAATCAAAATATAAAGAAGAACTAGAAAAAACATAAGTTAATTATGCTTTTAGACAAAAGTTGTAGTTTTATACCTATGGCTTATAATATAAAGCAAGAGTAAGAGAGTCCTATTAGCCACCGTATCTATACTACGATGGTTAGTTAGATTCTAACAACTAAGATAAAGAATAAGTTAAAAAAAGAAAGGAGTACATTTTAAATAATTGCAAATTTCATCATACTAACATTTAACTATTCGCAGATTTGGTGTAATAGTATTGATAAGAAAAATGGTTAGTGCCTCATAAATAAATAATGAAATGAATAATGATTTAATAAATAACCTATAAAAAGAAAAAGTACGAATAAAATGGATTGGAGAAATAAACTTTAATTAAATGGAATGAATTAAATGAAATACAGAATTATTTAAATATACAAAAGGATGGATGATATATAAAATTTATTATTGGAGTATATTGAAAATTAATTGCCATTAAATTAATACATTTCCCTTTGGACTTTATTATATCAAATATATTATTTAAAATAAGATATTCAATAAAAATACAAAAAATAAGATGTTTTATTGATTTACTAAAATACCATTGTTAAACTTGTTCCAAAGCATAAACAAATTGAATATATTATTATAAATAAACTAACCATTAACCATTATAATAACAAAATAAATCTGTTAATTTTCTAGTGTTATAAACAAATAATTGAAATATTAAAATTCCATAATGTCAATAACATACAATAATAAGTCATTAATTATTTTAATCAAAGTTATATTCTTAAAACTGGATATATATATGATATGTATTGATAAAATGATAAATTTCAATACTCAATAATAAAATAAACAATGTAAACATAAAAAGAAGATTAAAGAAACTTCAAGTAAGAATGTAGAATAGTATTTTTATAATTATATTTATTGATTTATTCAGAATACAATAAAAAAAGTATAACAATAAATAACAATTACTACAGTTATTTGTTCAATAGTAAATAAAACAAAAGTCTTGTGTCATGAAAATCAAACAATATAAAAGAAAATAACGATTATAAAATTAATTAACAATACCAACAAATGAAATAAGTTTAAAGAACAAAGAAAAAAATCATTTATTACTACCAAGCTTAGGGAATTTAGAATCATCTAAACGAGCCTTTTCAAGGTCCATTCTCTCTTTCTTTGCTTTTTGTGCTTCTATTGAAGTTGATCGTGCGATTTGACTCCATGTCTTTGATGAAGGTTTTTGAGGAATAGGAAGGTTTCTTCCTTCACCCAAAGTGGGGAATAATTCCTTTTCTTGTTTTTTCTTTCTCTTTAATTTTGTTTGGTCTTCTTCAATAATTTTCTTTCTTTCACTTTCAGGAATAATCTGAGTGTTCACCCTGGTTTTAATTCTCTTTTGTTGTTCTTCTTCCCAGTGTTGAGCTGACATAAACATTTCATCTCTCATTTTCATTTTTGCTAATTCTTCATTTCTTTGGTTATCAACTTGAATTAAAGTATTTCTTTGTTTAGTATTTGGCCATGAATTGATAAATTCAGCAAGTATCTCTTTTTC